TGCAGCGAGTGGTCCCGAGGGACAGGGTTTGCTGCGTGGGTGCTGTTCTCTCCGAAGCCAGAGGGGTAAATGCCGACAAAGTTGCAATGGACCTTGTGCCGCCTGTGGCCCAGCAGCAGTCGCACACGGGACACAGCAGGTTCCTCACTCCTGGGCTGCAGGACGTGGGGACACCAATGCCCTGACCACCTGCCCCGGCAGCGCAGTGCTGTCCCTGTTGTCGCTGGTGGGAGCTTTCAGGGTGGGATTTAAGAACGTCCATCTTCGTGTTTTCTTGTGCTGATAAATTACTTCAGAGCCGGGCACCTACTTTATGAAGGTTGACGAACGATGGAATTTCCTAACTGCTGTAGCTTAGTGAGTTTTCTAGATATGTTTGCTGGTTTCTTTAAAATTTTAATTTTATTGATTTTAGAGAGAGGGGAAGGGGGGGAGAGAAATGTCGATGTCCGACTCCCACACACAGACCGAGGCTCGAACCCAGGACGTTTTGGTGCATGGACAGCACTCCAACTGAGCCACACCGGCCAGGGCTGATCATTTATTTCTTATAATTTTACTTCTTATACAAGGCACCCCCCCCCCAAAAAAAAACCCAAACCATTTCTAAAAGCCTCTCTACTATCAAAATATTTCTCACTGAAAGGGCAGCTATGGTGAGTCACAGGAGCTTCTGGGGGCCGACGGCGCGCCTGCAGTGCTCGCACCCTGCTCCTGCGGGCGCCGCGGGCTCGTGCTGGGGAAGGGCCTGCAAAGGAGTCACGGGCCAGCGTCCCCCCCGCAGCTTTATCTCCGAGGAAACTCAGAATTCAACCTCTCCAATCATAGTAATAATTTTTGTTCATGCCTAGTAACTGCTTATCAGCTCTCTAGTGGCTTTACCTTTAAATAGATTCCTAAAAGGCACCTCCAACCTCACCTTTGGAAGCATATAGAAAACAAACAAAGCCAGCACCCCCCTGGCCGAGTTGCCTTACTCCCCGCGTGCTCACTCTCGCTTGCCCGCCTTTGGCTGGGCGCTAGGGACAGCTGTGACGCCGTCTCACCAACGACAGCCCTGAGCAGACCTGGCCAAGAGAGGAAGAACTAGTCATTTACACCTGAAATGTGAACTGGAAGGACACCCCAAATGCTTCCATTATCTTATATCCCTGTATTACCTGTTGCTGCATAAAAATTTCCCAGAACTGTGGCTTTAAAACTTTTTTAAAAAAACGTATCTACGGATTTCAGAGAGAGGAAAGGAAAGGGTAGAGAGAGAGAAACATTAATGATGAGTCATTGATCGGCTGCCCAGCCTGCACCCAGGCATGTGCCCTGACTGGGAATCGAACCCCGATCCTAGGTTGATGCTCAACCGCTGAGCCACGCCCGCTCGGGCAAAACGTTTTTGTTTTTACCCTGGCCAGTGTGACTTGATTGGGCATCATCCTGTGCACCAAAAGGCTGCCCGTTCGATTCCTGGTCAGGGCACAAGCCCGGGTTGCAGGCTTGATCCCCGGTGGGGGAGAGGGTGCAGGAGGCAGCCGATCAATGTTCACTCACATTGATCTTTCTCTCTCCCCCTTCTCTCTCTAAAAACAGAACAAACCCAAGCCATTTCAGTTCCTGTAGACTAGGATCTGGAAAGTCTCAGCCAAGTGTCCCTGCTCAAGGTTCCTCAGAGCTGCAGGGAGGGTGCTGGACGTGCTTCCGAGCTCAGCGGTTGTCTGCAGGGCTGTTTCTCACGGGCTGTGGCGCTGAGGGCCTCCCACAGCGGCACTCACCGGGCACCGTGCTTCCCCAGAGCAAGGGTTCGGGACGAGCAAGAGGAGGGGCTCGGCTGAAGCCACAGCCCTTTTGTAACCCAGTCTCAGAAGCCACGTTGTTACGTTTGCCTTGATCCGTTAGGACAGTTACAAAGTCCAGCCCACATTCAAGGCAAGGGGATCCGCAGTGTGAACAGGTGGTGGGAACCGTTGGGGTCCTTTAAAAGTTGGTTTTCAGTTATTCATAATTTTTTACTTTCTGGTGTCATTACTACTTTAACTTTCTGCTGGGATGGGCATTTACCAGAAGGCTTTAGTGGAACAGATTGGATTCTAGTAGCCTCACNCCTACGAATGCCTTTTCAGAGTAAACACCCTGCCTCCTGCAGGAGCTCAGGCCTTGGAAAGTATCCTTATCTCGGCTTCTAATGGGAACTTTTGGGGAGGATAGAGTCCTTGGCTTGGTATGTGGCTTAACTATCCTTTAACCCTTCAGGCCGGGGCCAGCTTCCTAATTAGCCTTTCTAGAATCTAGTGTTGCTTTGGTGCCTCAAGGACTGGGTCAGGGAGCAGGAGGGCACCTCTGCAGCTCACCCAGGCAGCTCCTCTGTGCCTGGGGCCACTAACTCATCCACATCTCCCTGGGGAAGCATTTTCCACTGATACCGTTGCATGGGTCTCTGCAAATTGATAGCTGGGACACTGAATGCAAACCGTTCCCTGTCCCTCGGATGGAGGGGGAGCGGGGGGAGCAGGGCGAGTGCTAGCACCGCTGCCCACCACTCGGGTCAATGCCTCAGAGATTTCTCTCTTGATGGCACTAGGGCAAGCGGGCCTCCCGGGTCTTTCTCCCTGGGCAGCACCTCGCCTGGCGGGTCCTCCCGGGGGGAGTCCCGCCGGCTCCCCACAGAAGGGGCCCTAGTTCTCAGCGCTCTCCCGTCTGGCATCTAACCTCAGGAGGATCTGGAGCGGGGCCCACTAATTCCCAGCACGGACCATACTGTCCTCTGCGTGGTAAACCCAAAGCTACCGACGCCACGTTTTAGGGCCACAGCTTCTGAGAGCGTTGTCAGTAGCCGACGCCCGTTCTGCAGCACAGTCCAGTTCTTCCCATCGGAGGACAAGGATTGTTACTGTATTAAAAAGGACAGAAGCTAGATCTGAATTAAGGACAAAGGAGAAAATCATGACACAAAATGAACTTGGGAGAATATAAAATCATATTATCATCTACACATTAAAGCCCCCCTCCCCTTATAAGGAATGTGCAGTGGGCGACAGGACCAGGCACTAATGCAAACTTGCTTAATTACTTAGTTAAAACTTATAAACACAACACGATTTCAAAATTTCTGGCCTTTAAACTGGGATATTTCTGATTTCACAAGGACTTGGTGTGGTTTAGTATTTGTGCAAGGACTTAAAAGACAAATGCATATCATACACTTAGTTTTTTAATCCCAACTTTTAAAAACAAGACTTCAGGGACATAAAAAAATTCCGCCCTGGCCAGTGTTCTCAGTGGTTAGAGCACCAAAGGGTCCCGGGTTCCATCCCCAAACCCTGGTCGGGGCATGTGCGGGACGCAACCAATTGATGTTCCTCTCTTTTCTCTCCTCCTTCCCACTCTCTCTAAAAATCAATGGGGAAAAAATTCCTCCTTAGAACTCAAGGTCCATATATTAATTTTAAAAATTCTCACCCAAGGATTTTTTCCCATTGCTTTTCAGAGTGGAAGGGAGAAACACATCGATTGGTTTCTCCAGCACTTGCCCCGACCAGGGCCAGGGAGCCTGTAACTGAGGTGCGCACCCTTGGGCGGAACTGAACCCATGACCCTTCAGTCTGCAGGCCCACGCTCTACCCACTGAGCCAAACCGGCCAGGGCCACATATCTTTATGTAATATTTTTATCTTTTATAGTTTTTAAGACAGAACAAGCTACCAGTTACCAATGCCTCGGTAACTCCAAAGGCACCAATCTGGTGAGCAAAGTTCAGATTCTATTATCAATAAATCACCCATTTTCTGTGATACAGTAACCTAACAACAAATCATCTTCCTTATAGGGCCAAACTGGCTCCCCAGGCTTCAAAAATAAAAGAATGGGCAATAATTCTGAAGTCCGTTTGTAACCTGACCTCTTCTGGCGTAACTAAATGGTTTCCCTGTGGACACTCAAGGCAGATGAAAAGTTAAAATGGGGTTGTAAATCCACCCACTTGCTGGTTCTTTCGGGACAGCTGTAAGCTCTCCTTGGACAGCCCTTAAGTTTTCCAAAACACCGAGTTCTAGGTCCAGACATTTAACACAAGGCTTAGCGTGAATGCTTAGATTGGTCGCGTGAATATATTGGTTTGCTAAATCCTGATTTAATATTATCTTAGGTTGTTTTTAAAACAGGTTCCATTACTGTCAACACTATAATATGAATATATTATGTATGTTGTAAATATGGCACAATGGAAACCAATTACCTAGAGCAATTTATGTAGTTCAGGAGTGGGGAAGGGCTTTCTATCAGTAACACTAAAAATATCACAAATAAAAATGAAAAGCAAATTAAAAACTAGAAAAGAATGTGATGGAAAAAATAAAAAATGCATTACCAAGTCCTTAAACAGGTAAGCACATCAGAAGAAAGGGGGTAACACAGGCAAATAACCTAAAAATACAAATGGACAATAGGAACCATGAAAGAAATTTCTGACTTCGCTAGTCACCCAATATGCAAACTTATCCAAGACACTCCCTTCTTTGGGGCAAACTGGCAATCAGGAACAAAATGAGATCACAGCAGGCCCATCCAAACAGTCCAACTGTTCTCCACATGAGCTAGGCAACATTTATTAAAGCCTTAAAAATGTACTTAATCAGGCAAGTGCGTGAAACCTGTGTACACATGTTCACCATGCCAGTGCCTTAGCCAGAGTCCACAAATTTTTAGCATTTTGCACACATGGGGACTGTAGTCTGAGGGAAAAACACACTACAAATATTCTGGGGCAAATGCTGTCAGATGGAGGGAGTAACAATTTTCTTAGAACTTTCCAAAATGTACTGATAGCCCACCTTGACCCCAATTTAAAGACAGAAACAAAGCCACAAACCCCACAGAATAGCATGTGTTCAGCCGTAGTTTTATTGTGCTTTTTGAACTTAAATAAGTTGAAAAGCACACGGAGCACACCCACTCTGAAGCCTGGCTTAGAACCACCTGGGCAGTAAACGAATGTATCTTCTGGAAACATGTGGGTCATTAAACTGTTTATTGTATTGCATTTACAAAGAAAACAGACAATGCATCCAGTAGAAAGAATAAAAATGTATTCAGAGTTTTATTTTTAACTGACAGCAAATAGAAATCCTTTAGTGAGATCATGGCAATTTGACGAATTATGATTAAGTTCAATAAAGGTACATGGGGTACTTGGAAGATCAAATTCTACAGCTGCCTTTCTACGGTTTCTAATTCATTTGGCTCCTTAAATGATGGGGAAGCCCTTATTTCATGAGAAACAGTTCCCAAATGAAGTTACAGGTTCTCCTACTAGAAGTTCATGTCAACTGTTAAAATGGGGCTATTTGTTTTGATTATTTTACCTTAATATCATCACCAGAATTCCTGCAATCCCAGCTGTGATTTGACAGTGCAGAAAAGAATTCAGTCCTAGTCTGCTATTGCTTTAAACGTATGTGTATCGCTGAAAACCCAGTGGGTTAGAACTGCTGAAGGATGTTCCCTGCCGTTGGCTGATACAATCTGTTCTCTTTATTCCTGATAGGTGCACGGATGGCCTCACTTAAAATTCTTTCTATAGGAACACGTCTGATTTCAGGGCTACCCAGTCAAGGGTCCGATGAATGGCTGGCATAGTCACTCAGGGTAACGTCTGAGTTAAATGGATTACACAATTGCACCACTTTTCCCCTTTGCCATTGTTGGTGGAAAACGACAGAATCTACATTCCAGCTCCCGTGCAGAAAGCTGGCTGCCCAAGTCTCCTTGGAAGCTTTGCCAGGGAGCCTCACGCTGCACCTCCTCGGCCTCCGTGACTCAGTCCCGCAGCTGCTTGCGGAGAATCTGTGATCCCCAAGGCCCTCTTGGTCCTCGCTCAACAAGCGGCTGTGACCTCTCTCATGCCCCTTTTGCTTTTCAATAGGACCCGAGAAATATGTAGTCTAGGGCAAGTCTGAGAGAGACCCACCCTAAAATAAGATTCACAAAGCCTTTTCTCATTTGAAAAAGAAAAATCCTCAAGTACATCTTAATCATCTCAAAATTGCAGTTAAAAACTTATATTATACAAGGAAATAGCAGCAGAGAATGGTTAATCCTAAACTAACCACACACACACACACAAAAAGACCCAAACCCTCAAAATAATGAAGAAAGTGCCATCCCACCCCTCCCCTTGGTTCTTTTATCCTGGGATTTCTTTTAAGACCTGAAGCATCTGAGAAAGTGAGAAAGGCAAAGCCACAGAGGGAAACAGCTTCAAAGCTAAATTTTGGACAAGACAAAGAAAACATTGTAGATACAAGTTCAGGGACTGTTTGGAAAAGAAGTCTAGGGCATTTTCTTTAGATGGGAAATCTGAGTGCAGATCTCCTTTCTAGAGTCACCCTGATTCTTTAGTTATGGGGATACACTAAAGTGAAGGGAGTAAAGTGCCAGCCAGGGATTAAAAACAAATAAACTGAAAATACCCCCAAACAGCCAATCAAAGTAACTCTGCTGTTAGGGCAACAGAAGACACACAGGAAAGGACAGTGTGCAGAACACCTGTGGTTCTGGAGAAATTACTGGTCAATGGTTCTGTTTCGGTTTCCATCAAAAATCAGATTGAAGTTTGAAGGCCCTTAGAGTTATTCAAGGGTGCAAAGAACATGACAGTGTTTTGAACAGTGATAAAATGGGACCCAAGTTTGGTGTTTATACAGCTCATTTAAAAGGACAGTAGGTTAAGTCGCAGGAAAAAACGTGAACAGAGAACAGAAACAACCCAGGAGGATGATGCAGCCTGGAGACAGCAAGTTTAATGTCTCTGCTGTACAGAGTGACACCCTTCCCCCCTCTCACCCTTGTGCTGGCAAGAGGGAACGCACGAGAAATCTGACTCTTAGAGTCAGTGAATAAAAGGATGGGCTCCTACATTTTCATAGCTCTTTTTAAAAAGGCTGCTTATAATTTAAAGGATGTCCTACTGGAAAGACAAGGGTACAGGGTGAGAGGCTGTTCCACAGTTTAGTCTATTCATCTTTGGCAAAGCCCAATCGAGGCCAGATTCACCTAGGATGCCCAATGGCTGTGGGGGAATCTCCACAGGGTCAAGTAAGCAGACCCAAATGAGCACGTTGGAATAAAAAAAAAAGCCCCCCCCAAACCTAGAAACCCTTGAAGGAACAGCTTCACCCTGAAAAGGGAAGAGGGAAATGCTCGGAGGGGAGGGGCAGAGGGGCGGAGGGTCAGCGTGTGATCTCTGCTGCGGAGCTGGGCTGGGGCTTAGGAGTTGAGCCAAGGGTGCCGGAGACAGTCAGCGGCAGTGGCTCTCTTCTCAGGGATCAGCTCCAACATGGGCAGTAAGAAATCCGTGAAGCCAGCTGCCTCTTCCTGAGACCACTCATACTTCTCCACCAGAACCTCAAAAAGGCCCCAGGGTTTCAGCTTCGTGATGTGTTTCAGGTCACCTATGGTAAAAACAGTACAAAAGAAACTGATCAACACTGACAAGTGACAAGATTCTTTTGTGGAAACCCAGGGGCTAATCCAAGGTAGGCTACAAAGAATCAAATTCTGCCATCAGAATCTAACCCTCCATCCACAAAGCACCTCTCTTCTCTACTGCAGTCCCTGGAAAGAAGTGTCTCCACTTTTCATGAGGGCCTAAAAATCTAAGAAAACTTGTATGCTCCACCATTCCAGGATTTTAGCCCATCAAACTGGGTAGGGCAATCAGCAACTAGGTATTCACTGAAATGAATATTAAATGCCTTTGTACTCCACATGTACTCAATATGGTGTTGTTCTAAGGCAGTTTATAATCACATACCAAGAACAATTAGCTTGTACTCTCTTTTTTTGGCTTGATAGTCTAGTAAATGTTGCTTCAATATGGGTGGTCTTTAAAAATAAGGAGCTAAGAAAACAACAACAAAAATAAAAATAAGGAGCTGAATGAACCCCATACAGCTTTCAGAGAAGCTACGTCCACCACACTCAGTACTATTCTGGAACATCAATCTAAGATAAGTCAGTTGTCAGTGGCTTTTTAAGGTAACTGCTGCTTGAGCATGTTTTCTCTCTGCCACTCATCTGGAGCCTCTCCCGTGGGCAGGGAGTGCCTGTGTAATCACCTACTCAGTGCAGGAAGGCATCAGTCTGGCTCTGCACACGAGGAGGAAACGCTACGAAGCACATCACCATTTTCCTGCTCAAAAGAGGAACACTAAGAAATGTTTCTGAGAATGCTTGATGCCAGTATGGGGAAAGTGGTTTTTCTCAGCACTTGTTTATAGGTTGTGAGGAAAAGGGAACCATGGCAAAAAGGGAGAAAATGCCAGGTGGTGTTCTAGTCCCTTCTAAGTCAGGTTTCCACATTTCAGCTTTTAAACTTTATCTGAAATGCAGGAGAAATACACATTTAAATATGCCAACATATATTATCAAGTCAATAATCTGAAGTGAGAGTTTTAACTGTTCCTTCATTAATAATAACAAACTTATGAAACTACAAAGTTAATTCATATGACTGATGTGTTCAAGTGATGTGTTAGGTGTCAAAGGGCTACAAGATGAGTGACATGTAGCCCTGTCCTTAAGCAGTTTGAAACTAAAGTACTTGCTTGCCCATTGATAGAGGCAGTTCTTAGGCCAAAGGTGAGCAAAAGTTTGCTCACTTTCCAGAAGTGCTACACAGGAGTAGCCAGCCATGTGCCAGGTACTAGACACACAGTAACTAACGTACTATGATGTGAATAATATTCTCACCCCGCTTAGAAATCAGAAAGTGAGGCTGTGTCAATGGCCACGTAGCTAGTGGAGCCGCCAGGACTTGAACCCACATGGTCTGGCTCCAGTTTCTGCTCGGACTACACTATTTCATCTCTGCTAAGGAACAGCTCGTGTTCAAAGTGGGGCCATCCTTCTGTAGGTGTGGAACATGTACCCAGCCGTACTTACCTCTTAATTTAAAAACTCTTTTGCCCCCTGAATGTGTGAGAACAAACACATTTACTTTTACCTTTTTTGGTGAAAAATTCCTTGGAATATTTTCCCGCCACAATGAGCTTGCGAGGCACCTTCCCCAGAAGTTCTATGATCAATGCAATGTGATCTGTATGTTTCAAACATTTCAAGAGGGGAAAAAAAGACATACATGACAGGAGTAACAAACACAGTTGCAGCCATTGCCGAAAGAGCAGCATGCACACCTCTCCGTAAAGCATCAGGCCTGCTCTCTGCCCTAAGCGGGAAGAAGACTCGATCCAGCTGCTGGAGAGTCCGGGGGACCATAAAAAGCAGGCGCCCAGGGCGCGGGCTGAGTGCCACCGAGTAAAAACAATCTCGGCGCGAATGCTCTGCCGCCTGAGGCTGTACCCTGGGGCCTAGGCGAGAACTCATGTTAACAATACTACCTCTGCGATTGAAGAAGTCCTGTGAGTATTTCCCACTGAGGGCAAAGCGTCTTGGAACTCTGCCTACCAGCTCTATAATGTGCGCAATGTGGTCTAAAACAGAAGGGCGAGAAGAACAGGATCAAGGACAGGCTGGAAGAGGCTTTTCTATGACTAGCTTGTCAAGGACTAGCTGTTTCAAAGTCACTACAAATAGAACCAAGGACACTCAAGGGGAGACTGGGAAAGTCGGGAGTTATTTCAGGTGGCCGGTCGCCTGATAGGAGCCGGCGTGGCCCTTCTGGAGTTGAGAGGCTAATCTACATCTTTATTTCGCTTTTGTCCATATACCTAAGTTCAGGCATGACTTTTAGGAAAGGTAAAACAGTGTACCGATGTGCCTTTAGACATTATAGAACTGTTATTTACTTATAAGAATGTTCACAATGATTAAACACTAACATGATTATTCGAGTTTTCACAATCACCCTGTACCACGGGTCACAGGCTTACATGCCACTTGAAAGATGAGAAATGGAACCTCAGAGAGAATAAATGGCCTACTTGAAGCCATAGGGCTAACAAGAGCTAGAATGTGAAAGCAAACTCACATTTTAGTCTAGAACAGAGCTGTGTGTATGTTTTTAAATAAATCACACTTTTTAAGTAGAACTGAGTATAGCTACCTGACTATGTACGCCACTGAAACGTCCAAGTCACGTGGTGCCTGGTAAGTGTCACAGCACGAATGTGGTCTGTGACACTGACAGGGATGCGTGCAGTCAGTCTGTCATCAGGAAGTAAGCTTGGGACCAGCCAGCACCCACACTTAGAGGCAGGTGACAGAAAAGAGGACTACGAGAGGCTTTAGTGATGGCTCCTGGACACAGAGCTTTATAAATGAATTCAGTCCTGCAGTTACAGAACCATGGATGTAATAAGAGTCCCTCAGCAACATCCAGTAATGTGCCCCACAGGGAAAAAGCTGGATGGCACATCTGGGGGCCAAAGGGTCAGGGCTTGTCTGTTTCTCACATAAAGGACTCACTGGTGGCTTTAAAAGGGCTTTACATTCATGAATTCACTATAACCTTTGGGCACTTTTAACTGAATTTATGGCTTGGTAACAAGTACTTGGCTGTCAAGAAATTTCTGCCAATTTTAGGAAAGACCTGCGAATAAATGTCATTGTGTAAATTAATTTTGAGACTACAGTTTGTGAGACTATATATAGTTTATCTTATTGTAAACTTATCAGTGAAATACTCATTCTTTTACTATTTTTCCTATATCAAAGGATAATTATTCTCTTGGAATTGTTATTTTACCCTTAATTCCACCAACCTATCAATTAATCATTGGATTGATACATTTGATAGGCAAAATGGTTATAAGGAGCCAGGGCTGTGGAACGACCATAATACCAGAGGCCATGCTCCTCAGGGCCCAGTGCCTAGGCCACCACGACTTGTACAAACTGTATGTTCTAGTCAGGGTAAGAGTTTGCCTTTTCTTGCTCTTATGGGCCAAACTGTAGTAGTTTGAGGTTTCATCTGTGGACTGTTAGGATTGACTGGTACAGGAAGGAAAAGTTAGGATCTAAATACCTAGGGAGACAGTTCTCCCTTGTCTTTCACTTGAGACTTTTCTTATACATTTCAATTTTCAGGTTTGGTAGCGTAAGGTCCTACACAATATAATTCTAGCCACTAAATGTGTTCTGTACCACACACTATTTATAGGAAGTCTAGGGAAGTAAAGAGAAAAAAATTAATTTCTCTTCCAAACAGATATAGTAGGGCATTTAAAAACAATATAAATCTATAGCCCCAAAATTATATCTCAGAAAAAAAGCAAGCAGTGAACAGGGAAAATCAAGTGTATACAAAGGGCGTAATTGCAGTCTTTTCTCAACAGAGCTTATGTATAGAAAACACGTCCAAACCGTACCCACCAAAATAGGCATTTGGCTGCAGGAATTAGCACAGCATTTTCCAAAGAGTACTTGTCAGGAATATCAGCAGGCCCTACTAACGCTGCCCATTAACACCCCAGAGGACCACAGCTCGAGAGAGAGTGGGCATCACTGTTCCTGCAGAGCACAGAACCTGGCTTCCCAAAGAATCAAGGGAAGCAGGAAAGTAAAGGACTATTTTCCACACAGGGAGGGTATATTGCTACTGCTCTCTCAAAGCAATCCCGTTAATCCTGAGAACAAAAGCTGCGCAAACTATACAATAAAGAAGGCAAAATATTTAAGACTTTTTTCCATTCACATTATTATCTCATCTAGTTATTGGGAATGTCACTATGATAGGAAAAAAAATTATACACTCAGGTGTATGCTTTCACAGCTTCCCAGACAAAGCAACTAACAGCTTGGGCTCTTCCCACTGGCCATCACAAGATGTAATTAATAATATTGTGCTTTAAAATGGAATTATAAATGTCAGTATCATTAAAAAACAATGGCTTTAATTTTCACAAAAGGGGGGAGAAATGCTAAATGCTGCAGAATTTATATAGACCAATAAGATACAGTCTCTGGCCCTGGCCAGGTGGCTCAGTTGGTTGGAGCATTGTCACGTGCACCTGAAGGTTATGGGTTTGATTCCCAGTCCGGGTGCGTACTGGAGGCAATGGACCAATGTTTCTCTCTCTCACACTCTCCCTCCCCCTCTCTCTAAAAATCAATAAACATATCCTCAGGTGAGGATTAAAAAAAGATAGTCTCTGCATTCAATAAAATTATTAACTTTCAGATAAAGGTGAAGGTGTAACCGAGCAACAAGCTGATGAGCAAGTAGATTCAGTCGAGTAAAGAATGAATCAGCACCGGCTTACCCAGAAAGAAAGATAGCCAGTGTCCTAGAAGAATGCAAATTTTAGTTTAACCAACTGTGGCCTCCTCTAAGCCTCACTAGAGTTATTTAGTATCAGTTAAAAAATATCTAGTACATTTAACATCTAAAATAAAACATCGTACATTTCTATCTTTTCTAAAATTCCTATATACTTAGCACACTGAAGAGACTAAGGCTGCAGTACGAACAAATGCCGTTCCCCCGCGTGGACAGCGTGAGTGCCCCCCCTCGGGGAAGGGGACTCACCTTCATCCCGAGTGTATTCTTCTCCTGAGTGAGGTTCAAACAGATAGTCACCTGTGGCCAGCTCAAAGGCCTAAGGAAAAGCGGACAGCGTGTGAAAACATTATAAACAAACAAACAAACAAAAAACCCCTACCTAAGAGATCATTCCTACAGAGCTTTCCTCCCACACCTGTATCTCAATAAAATGGAGCAGGAAAACAGCAAAAACTCAGTCAATGTCAACACGTAGATTATTCCACGCCTTCCCCACCTCCCATCAAATCGGTATTTAAGCTCTCTCAAATTTCTCTTTTTGCTCAGAGGGGGCACATCCGAACAGTAAGGCGATTTTTAGTTATTAAACTTTCATGAGAAGAGCTGGTCTTATTTTCTTAATTTTACACAGTTAGAAATTGAGATTTTGTATCCAAAATGGAAACAAAAAAGTTCAGACATTTTTCTACCTATGACTTTAATGTTTGGCAAAAAGTACATTTTAAAGCTTTGCTTTGGAAAGCACTCCCTAAACTATCCCAGATAGAGAGTTCCCAGTTCCTAGTCCCACAGAAAATCAGAGCCCGGCCGGCGTGGCTCAGTGGTTGAGCATCAACCTAGGATCCAGGTGATTGCGGTTAGATTCCAGGTCAGGGAACGTGGCGGGCTTGACGTCCAGTCGAGGCATGTGGAAGGCAACCGATCAGTGACTGTCTCATCATTGATGTTTCTCTCTCTCCCTCTCCCTTCCCCTCTCTGAAATCAATAAAGATATATTTTTAAAAAAAAGTCAGAAAAAGATTAAGTGTAAATGGAGTCAGGAGCAACTCATAATCTGTGTGACTGGCAGGTTAGCATTCACAGACCAGGAAAAGGCACAGTCTCCTACCACAAGACAATCTCTTATAAACGGTATTTAAGAGTGTCTGAAAAAGTGGTTTCCTGTGGACTGAATGCCAAGCAGTATGAAAAGACAGCATCTGAGTGATGGGACCATGTTAATTTTTCATTGATTACAATGAATTAAAAAACAATAGAACAGTTTTAAAAGAAACTTATTGATATAAAAGTGCAGTTAAAAGTCAAGTGCTAGTTGTGGGTCAACTTTGATTGAGTCAATGCACTAAGTAGCACAGACAATCTCAAAGACTACAGCGTGGAATTAGCTGGGGCATAGTCTCAATCAAGATCCATGTTTAGGTCTCTGCGGTTTGCTGGTGTCAGATTCTGCAGTTTCAGGACAAGATAGCCTTTCTCAAAACAGTATTACCAGGGCTGTACTATGGCCCAGAGCAAGGCCACAAAACCAGAAGTTTTAGGGTTACCTCTAAAGTGTCAGGGACACTATGGCTTCTTGCTGGCACAGCTTGTTTTACGTTCCAGCAGCTCACTGTGAACCTGAACCACACTGACCGAGCGGCTGCTTGCACTACCCTCGCACTGTCCTGAGGTCTATAGCCCACAGCAGAACAGAAGCAAACTGTGATTCTTAGTCATCAAAATTTGTTGATCTCTTCTGAAATTAGTACTTAAATCTTTCAAAGTCTCATAGTGGGAGTTCAGTAAAGATATTGAAATTAATGTTCACAAAAATACAGAAAAACTTCTAAAACTTAAATTTTCTAATTTTTTCATCTAGATACTCATATCTAGTTAAAGTTCTCTAAGAGAGTTTTATTTTCAAAACATAAGGTAGTTGCTAATAGTTATAATTTTACAAATAAGATAACAGCAAAAAGCCTAACTAAACGATCACATTAGAATCCAAAACTAGTAGGAGCTCTAGATAATAAAACACCTAGCTGAACACATTTCCTTTGCAGATGAAAAAACTGACCAAACGGAAAGGCAAAGCTCACCCCCCAATCCAGGGCTCTCAATTCCCACCCCATGCCTGTGTCACACTGACCAAAGAGCCTGTTCAACATCACTTAGGGTGACGGTGACAGACACAGGCAAAGTCAGAGATAAAATACAGTGTGCTAGTACATTCAGAAAATGGATTATTCGTGCTAAAAAGATATGAGCTATCAAGTCATGAAAAGACATGGAGGAACCTTAAATAAAAATTACGAAGTGAAAGAAACTAACCTAAAAGGTACGTACTGTATGATTTCGAGTTGATACTCTGGAAAAGGAAAAACTATAGACAATAAAAAGATCAGTGGCCAGGAATTGAGGGGAGGGGGGGAAGGAGAGAGGATTTTTAGGGCAGTGAAAGTATTCTATGTGATACCATAATGGTGGATACCTATCATCATACATTTGTTAAGATCCACAGAATGTTAGGAGAATTTAAAAACATCTATTCTTTATTGATTCTTAATGTTTGTCACAGAACATTACTATAACATTTATATAATTGCCCTTCTAAATTTTATCGTCTCAATCACTAACGGTGCAGGCAATCTCACAACTTGTCTCTCAACCTTGCAGAAAGGGCCCCAATCTTTCTATCAATTAATTACACTGGATGCAGGCTCCATCTCTCCAGGCGCTTGATATTTCAGGATTTATTTTTATTCTCTGAATATGGCCAAATTTAAGGCAACATTTCTGCATCTATCAGCAAAATGAAAGAAGTTTGGGGTAACATGAGACTCAAGTTCTAATGATATTGTCTCATGTCAAGTAAGTGCTTTCCCTCCCCAGTCAAGAAAATTCCTGCATGTGAGTTGGTCCAAACAGGGGGCAAGGTTAATTCCTCTTTTATCTTTTCCCCCCTTAATTCTTAAGCCTGACATAGTAAACACTGTTAAATAGCAAGCAGGAACCACTGCCCTCAAACAATTAACCCACTACTAAGAACCATTTATTATCATAACAAGCCAGATGCTACCTAAAAACTAGCTGTATTTTGTAGTAGGTGATTCTCTCTCACTTATTTCCTCTAACAATTCAAACTCAAATTAAATTCCTCAAATTCGAAGCTTTAAGGTTTGGCAAGAAACAAGTCAGGTTTTATTCCAATGTTCTTTCATCTTGTGTGTAAAATACCAACCTTACTTTATTTCAGACAGTCCTCCACTTTAATGATATGCCCTAACAAGTAATTTATAAAGTCATGCCATATTAACAACATGATTTTAATTCTGTTACCTTTGGAAGACAGCTTTTCAGGGATGTAGGTGTCAAGAAATCTATGACTAGAACAGGTAGAGATTTCTAGCCTGTACTTTCTCTTTCAAGTTTTCCAGAGCTGACTGTGAATACTAAATGTTAATTAAAATGACAGTTTAATGTATTTATTGCTTAGTTCACACATTTGATGGTCCACAAATATTTATTAAGTACTGTTACATAATAATGAATTCGTTTGGTCTTTGTTTCTGTTTACTAGGAAAGAGCCTCTAAACTCTTGGAATTTCCAAGTGATCAAAGTGTCTTTTGTTACTCATAGTGGAACCCTGGGCCACACTTAAATTTATACTAATGAGATTGGTTCATGATGAGCTTGAGTTCGGTGAGTCATTCTCGAAAACTACTGAATCTGAGATGACAGTGGAATTCCCCAATGGGTAGCCAGTTGCCAGAAGTGCAGGTGGCCTGTGGGCCTCAGAGCTTGTGGCTATGTTTGAATTGAGGCAGTCTTGTGGGAAACTACACCCTTAATTTGTGAAGTTTGTGACAACTCTAGGTATTTAGCATTAGAACTGCATTGTTAACACCCACTCAAAATGTGCCAGGGCCTTAACCAGACACTTGCTATACATAACACACACGATTCCTGCCAGCACGGCACTTCTAACCTAGTGGGAGAGAAACAAGCAAATAAACACACCATTGTGAGTAGTGTACGCCCCATTTCAGGAAACAGTATAATACGGTCCGAACACTGGCTATTTGTGGGAAATATTTAGTAGCAACTAAATCTAACCACTTGAGTAGTTGTTTGCCAGGGACAAAGCAGAATGAATCATTGAGCTTCACATCTTAGGAGGTGCAAAGATGCCTGAGTAACTGCTGAACTATACAGACGGAAACAGTTTCCAGGGGTGTCCCTAACCTAAAAATAAGATCAGAGCTGAAAGGGCAAGGGTACCTGTAACCTCCTAATCAAGTGCAATGCTACCTCAGAGCAGTTGCTTTAAATCCACCTTCCTCCCCCGCACCCCTATCTGTAGTAAAAAACGTTTGGTTCCTTCACCTACCAAATGGAAAACTAGATGTTTACAACTAGCTTTTGAATTCAGACCTCTCCAGACCCAAGGTTTAGAGTACCAGTGATAAGTCACACAAAAAATACTTTTTCACTTTCTTAATTTGCTGGTCTACTGAAATGAGCGAACAGGGCAAAGTATGGTATTACCAAATAACAAAGGTCAAGGGGAAAAAACATTACCATGCATGCTGTGCTCCAAATGTCAGCAGGGGTGCTATAGCCAGATCCTATCAGTACTTCCAAGGAGCGATACTGCCTTGTTTGAATATCTTCAGTGAAATGTTTATGCTGAGTAAATGGAGAAGGAAACAGTATTTTAAAATTCATTTATTCTAAAAAGTAACAAGTCATGATTACTTAATAATGGAGATTAAAATTTTTATTTAGCTAATGTGTTATCACTTTGATGCTATTAGCTTCAAACAGAACTCTGCTTTACAGTTTACTCCAAATTATTTTTGCAAAGATATGAATCTAAACTTTATATACACAGATTAGAGAATAACAATTTCTTTCTAAGATGTAGGTTTCAAGTTTCAAGAACCTTAAAACAGCACCGATAAAGAATTCTTGAGTGACATCAGCATCATGGCAGAGTGAAACACACCCTTGGTCTTCCGCCTTCAATCTACAGTGAGTGGAATATCTATAACTCAACAAAGATTCCCTGATGCACACACTAGGATGCATGAGAGATCCACACATTTGTACATCTGAGGTGGGTGGATTGGCATGTAAGGAACGGTGGAATTGGAGGTCCAGCAGGGAAGATGCCTGACATCCTGTCCCACAATGGCAGCTGAGCCCACAACCCAGTGACCATGGCAGTGGCAGTGGAGAAGGGGTTTGTGACTACACCCGCCATCCCCAGCAAAGGAAAAGGGCAGCAGCAACACTGGAACAAGCAACTCTGGTTCCCTCCCTGGCTGCAGTGGTGCCTGCGATCCTGATTCCCCTGCCATGGTGGCAGCGTCCGAGACTCAGACAATCCTGGACACAGTGGGGCACACACCATCCTGGTGACTTTAGCGAAACCTGTGGCTGCAGCAACATTGGAAGGCATCAGTGACCCTGGAGGTATAAGTAGCTACAAAGAGAGCACCTGTGACACCTCTGGCAGAAGCTGTGGAGGGTAGAAAATTCTAGCTTTCAAATATAGCTAAAGTCTGCTCAGGTAAGAGAAAGTAAAAACTTGTGCTACACTGCCACCTACTGGATAACAAAAAAGGTCTCTAATTATCAACCTGTTGAATTGTTAAAATTAAACAAAGCTGTACCTAAGCAAGAGAAATGTTCACTACTTCAAATGTGCCAGCAGAGGAATCAAGTGGTAACACAATATCACAAAAATAAAATGGTATTTGTCCAGAAACCAAACTTGGTATCATGGAAGATTGTGATCTAAATGACAGAGAATTCAAAACAGCTGTCATAAAGAAATTCAATGAGTCCTAGAGATGGGGATGAGTGGTTAGAGCATCGGCCTGCTGATAGCTGGGTCAAGGGTTTGATTCCTGGTCAAGGGTATGTACCTGGGTTGCAGGCTGGATCTCCACCCCTGATTGGGGGCTTGTGGGAGGCAACCAACCAATGTGTCTCTTTCACATAGATGTTTCTCTCCCTCTCTCTCTCTCTCTCTCCCTCCTCTCTCCATTCCTCCTCCTCTCCCTCCTTTCCCCCTTCCCACTCTCTCTGAAAAGCAATGGAAAAAATACCCCCAGGTGAGGATAAAAAAAAAATAATTCAATAAGAAACAAGAAAACTCAGAAAGGTAGTTCAATGAACTCAAGAATAAAATTATTTAACAAAAGGAGTGCTATACAGAAGATACTGAAACTCTAAAAAAGAACCAAACAATGAATCTGGAGCACTCAGTAAGATAAAGAATGCATTAGAAAGCACTGGAAACACAGCAGACCAGATGGAAGAGTGAATCAGCAAGTGCAAAGATAGAAATCTGAAATGATTCAGGTGGAAGAGTAGAAAGAACTAAGACTTTTTTAAAAATGCAACTCTAGCCTGGCTGGCATGACTCAGCGGCTGAGCATCAACTTATGATCCAGGAGACCATGGTTCAATTCCCAGTCAGGGCACATGCCCGAGTTGTGGGCCCCAATCAGTAACACTCTCTCATCATTGATGTTTCTATCTCTTTCTCCCTCTCCCTTCCTCTCTTCTCTGAAATAAAAAATGACATATTAAAAAAAACACACACACACAGAAACCAAACAAAAAACCCCACAACTCTGTGAGATCTCACTCCATCAGAAAGGGCAATACAGGAATAATGGGTATTCCAAAAGGAAAATCAAGGGAGAAGGGAAGAGAGAGCCTAGTTAAAGAAATAACAGAGGAGACCTTACCAAACCTGGATGAGCTGGACATACAGGGAGGTCACGGAACACCTAATTATCTCAATACAAAGAGACATTCTCTAAGACACACTATATTAAACTGTCAAAAGTCAATTATAGGATCTTCTGGTCAAGATGGTAGTGTAGGTAAATGTGGTACTCGCATCCTCCCACAGCCACATCAGAATTACAACTAACCACAGAACAACCTTCATTCAGAACTGTCTGTCCTACAACTAGAGAATTAAAGAAGCCACAATGAGACTGGTAGAAGGGGCGGAGGCACTGAATGGGCTGGTCCTACACAAACATGCGGTGTTCTTTATTTACTTTTTAAAATATGTCTTTATTGATTTCAGAAAGAGGAAGGGAGAGGACGAGAGAGAGAAATATCAACAAGAGAGTCACTGATCGGCTGCCTCCTGCACACCCTCTACTGGGGATCGAGCCCGTAACCTGGACATGTGCCCTAACCAGGAACCGAACCTCGATCTCCTGAATCATAGGTCGATGCTCAACCACTGAGCCATGCTGGCAGGGCCATGTGGTGTGTTTTTTAATCAGGAGGGATATCTTGGCTGCAAAGGTCTCCCATGAGGAGCAAGGGGTTCCAGGCCTACACTGGGCTCCCAGCCCAGGGTTCCAGTGCTGGGAAGAGAAGTCCCCTGAAACCAGCAGGGAGTGTGGCTGAGTGACAAAGAGGGTTGCTGGAGTCCCAAGGCAATCCTCTTAAAGGGCTAGTGCATGGACTTACTTGCATTCCCTCCCTCTGGGCTCCAGCGCTGGGGCAGCAGCTTGAAAGGATCCAGGGTCATATGGGGAGGAACTAAATTGCCTGGCATCAGGGCAAGAACTGAGGGGCAGCTTTCTCCTAGACAAAAGTGCTGGCAAAGGTCATTGTTCCTTTGCTGAGAACCTCCTTGCCACAGTGCTGACAGGCAGTCACCATATCTGAGTTTCCATCAACCTAGCCCACAATGTTCACCCTGACGTGCTGATTCCGAGACCCTGATCCACCCAACTTGCAGCCCCACCCAAGCTGTTTGCAGTGGCTTTTCCAATATGAATGGCCTGCCCTAGATCAGGCTTCACTTTCCTAAAAACTCCCAAACAAGCAGCAGCTGGTCTCAGTGTGCCCCATACTTCTCGATAAGTGGCCCCAGGCCTAGCACTAGCAGTGGCCTGCTTTGGTTCATAGTGTGTGACCACTCTTTGGGCACCTCCAAGCCCAATACAAGTAGCAGCCATCTGCAGACTGCTCTGCAGCTCGTGCTGAGTGGCCCAAGGAAAAGCGCAGGCAGTAGTTGACTGTGAACCTCCCGGGAGGTCCCAGAGCCAGTGCAGCTGGTGGTCAGCTTCAGACCACACGAATTACAATCCTACCACATCCACAGAAGACACACTGAAGGGGCAGACTTGGAGAGCACCAAAGCCCTACTCAAGCAAGTTCTGCTGCAGGCGGGTGTCTCCTGAACAGCAGCTGCACAGGTCTAACATTTGAATAACGAGATTTCAGAGCCAGAGAACAGAGACCAAGGAGAAGAGAATTTTTTAAAAATCAAGAGAGTAAAATCAAGGAATCAGAGTTTCAATACTGAGTCCTTAGCATAATGGATGAAAACAGAACTAGTGAGACACACTGCTGTGAAGTGATCTCAGATTTCCACGGGGAAAGGCTTCATATAAAGGGTCATGAATCAGAATGGCATTGATCTTTAGCAGCAACAAAACAGGAAACTAAAAGACAATGAATTCTGAGGGAAAATGATTTTCAACCTAGTACCTGACACTCAGCCAACTGACTGTAAAAGCAGAATAAAAGTTATCAGACAGGCAAGGCTACCCTCTGCCACCCAATCTCACATACCCTTTCTTAAGGAAGTTTTTGAAGTCATATGTACTCCAAAAAAGCTAAACAAAAACAAAACCAAGAAAGATCAGAGACATAAAACAGGATACAGAGAGTAAACAATAACCCCTAAGATGATAGTAAAGGGAATCCCAAATGGCAGAAATGCAGCAGGCCTGTCGGGCAACCCAAATGAACAGATGGAAGACTCCAGGTTCCAGGACAGAGCTCTTCAGGGAAAGAGGAGGTGAAAGAACACCAAGGTACCCATATGTGTTAGAGTGTAAGCGCTCCCACCGCTGGGTGGGAATGTGGGGTTGAGTTGAGTGTTAAGTGTACAAAGATGACTCAGCATGAAACACAGTGTTGGGCAGAAAGGGAAAAGGAATCATAACACAATACATGCTCAGTTCAGCTAAGGATGGCATTAGAGTCCTAATAATGTAAACAGGGAATGATTACCTAGCCCCAAATCCTATTAAATTGGAAAGATTGGGGACGGGTGCAGTGGTGGTATATTAGTCTTACTTTTCAAGAGGAAGAAATAATACCTAAAATTGAAAAGAAGAATTGGGAGCAATATAGCCAAGTTCTTTATTAGTGACATGAAGATAAGCACTGACGTGTGGAGAGTGAAAAGCTGGCAAAGGGAGGAAAGACCTTCTTTTGAATCAAAACCTATATAACGGTCTCTAAACTATACACAAGCATAACTGATAAGCAAAAGAATATTTTAAAAAATCAAGCTATAGGAAAATAACATGTAGATAAAAAAGGACTCCTAAAATAAACGTGACAAGTCCAGTGACCGAAAATAACCTCACAGGGTGATCTGTCATAATGCCTAACTGGGCAGGACTGTTTTATTGTACTCTCTACTTTAGTAAATATATTTGAACTTTCCCATAATAAAAAGTGAAAAAATATTCACTAGCCCTAGCAGGTTTGGCTCAGTGGTTAGAGCACCAGCCTGTGGACTGAAGGGTCTTGGGTCCCATTCCGGCCAAGGGCACAGACCTCAGCTGCAGGCTCCATCCCTGGCTGTGGGAGTGAGGGAGGCAACCAGTCCATGTGTCTCTCTCACGACAATGTTTCTTTTCTCTCTCTCTTTTTCTCCCCACCATTGAAAACTAATGGGAAAAGTATCCTTAGGTGAGGATTAAAAGAAATTCACTGAAATGCTAACTGGCAATCTGGGTCTGAAACTGAAGATGCTTTCTTCTGTTTGCACAACTACATCCAAATCTCATTCACTGCCTGTCGCGTCGAAACAAAGCACTGAGAAGTTTCGCTTACCACCCAACAGGCATTTCCAAGATCAGCAATCTTCACTTGGAGCTTCTCTGCATTTTTTGGCTCAAGGGGATTAACAAGAAAATTTCCTGCAGTGGATTTTCCTATAGACAATAGGCATCATCAGTAAGACTGTTCAATGAACACAGAACTACCCAAAGGTTAATAAAACTCTGAGGTCATACACCCAGGCCCCCACTGGCAATCTATAACCACCTTTCTAAGATAAAAGGAACAGCGCAACACCTTGAGTTTCCAGAATTAAAACCTTTTGCCTTCATAGCTGTGTACCCATTACACGATCAAAATTCAAAGTTACCTACAGACTTACGCAGTGAAGGTAACCGGGACATCTGTTGTAAAGCCAGCTTTATAAAAACCATGGTATTTTTAGTCTAGAAAGTCACGACTACGCTCTGCAGGGAGGAAGTCCTGGGGAGTGTGTGCATAGGTACCTCTGCCGTCCAGTGGTCCGTTGTGCTCTTGGTCCTGCTCATCTTCACAGGGTATCTCTGCCCGAATGCTTTCTTGCAGTTGACTGATGTCCTGTTCACTGAGTGACTGGTCTACGTTTGATAGAGACTGGCACACCATGGTATCTGACACCTCAGAGGTTACAGGTGTACCAGAGTCTGTTTCTTGAGATGTGCTGCTGTCTCCATTTTGGGAGCTTAGGAAACTACTTTCCTGCTTCAAATTTTGTACATCACAGTCATTAGCATTATGTAGATCGTCTTTAAGCCTCAATGTTTCTTTATTACTGTTCTCAGTATAATTAACGATTTCAATTACTCCATTGCAATTAATTTCTGCTGCACCACCCTCTACACCACGTTCCATAAGTGTTTGATCCTGGTCAACGGTACTTGACTCTTCTAAGGAACAAACAGACAAAAAGGATGTATGTGTATGTGTAGTAGTGAAAGAACAAAAAATTTCTCCACGAGATTAAAACATTTTCTAGAACTGAACACAGTTACGTAAAACTATGACTGAACATCTAAAACCTACTTATGGAAGGACAAAGATCCTCTTATCCTTACCCAACTACTAAATGAAGTCTATGTTGCATTTCCTGAGAAAAGTTAGAAATTACATTTGAGTATGACCTGCCTAACGCTCATGACAAATCCTGTATTCTTACTTTATAAGGACACCCCCAGAGACATGCCGTACGCATGAAACCACTATACAGAACAACCATAATGTTAGATTTTGCTATAAAGTAATTTGTGTGATGCTCTATTTATACCAAGTTTTTCTTGGGTCATTTTATTAGGTGGGTTCTCTTTCAAGGGTCTTTCAACAGGACTCTCTGAGTCTTCTTGCTGGTTGGGTCTGTTTTGCCCAGGGCCCGACTCTTTCTCCATTTCCTCAATCTCCTGCATTCGCTTCTCTAGTAATTCTGCCTGGCGCCTCTGCTTCTTCTTCAATTTCTTCTTCTTATTCTTTGACATTTTGTCGGCCTGGGCGGAGATTACAAACAGATAAAGCCTTCAGGTGGCTAATCCATCACTCGAGTTGGAGATAACTGTTAACTTTAATTACTTCCTAATCAAATGTCCCTCGTTCCCTACACAGGACTTACATTTTTCATTAACTTAAAAAATGTGTACACTCTTATCAAACCAAATAAAAACAAAATTAACAACAAATCTGGGTCCTCTGAGCAGTCTGTGGGGCTGGTGTACTTTCAAACACGCTCAAATTCATAGACGTCTCACCATTATCAACCTGACGAAGATGCATGGAATTTAGTGCAGAAAATTACAGAAGCACACGATTATTTTTTCCTTTGGTTCTCAAGTTCTAAACAAACTGTGATTATCCGTAACAGAAGAACCCCTGCCCCATAGATCAGAATTAAATATAGAAACCCCTTATACTTACTGGTTTAGGCTGGGGCGCAGTGCTGACTGAAAAGAAAAGAGAACCAAGTAAGAACCCTGGCACTCAGTAGGACACATGAACTAATGCCCACATAGGACACCACACCTGAAGGAAAATCCTTCCCTGCACAGTTTGTATCGTAGAAACAACTACTTAAGCAACTTTGGGGTAGAAATATTACTTTTTTAAAAGAAATAAATAATGCTTATAAAAGCTGAACAAACTTAAAATAAGTTTAAATAAATTAAATTCTTCAGATAGTACAAATATAAGCAGAACCAAGACCCCGTTTCTGGTCCCCACAACTAATGCTGCTAAAATCCCATTCACACATACTGCTTAAAACAGACTCTGATGGGCAACCTCCTCACCTCCTCCAGGACTCTTATTTAAGCTCTTCAAAAACTACCTATTTCCCCCTTCTTGACTTTTCCTTTTTAAAGGAAGCCTATGGTAACTGATACTTCCAACTTGAAGATCAAGAAAGTTCCCCAGCCCTGGCCAATGTGGCTCAGTTGGTTGGGTGTCATCCTGTGCACCGAAAGGGGGCACAGTACAAAGCATACAGGAGGCAGCGCATCGATGTTTTTCTCTCTCCTTCTCCCTCCCTCTCTCAAAATTCAATAAAAAAATCTTAAAAAAACCCAAAAAACAAAAAAGGAAAAAAGAAAGTTCCTCAAATATAAACATATAAACTTCTAAAGTTAAAATCTATATCTCAAATGGAAAAAAATGATCATAGTCATAGTAGCCAATATTTATTTAGCACATAATACTATGTGGCACACTGCCAACTACTTTAACATGAAATTTAATCCCAGTTAACTCCTGCATGAGAAAATAATGAAGTCAAATGACTCGCCCAAGGTAACCCAGCTGATGATGAAGCCAGGATTCAAATCAGGTCTGTTCACGTCAGTGCTTAAACTTAAGCTCTTAATAGATATTATCTTGCCCCTGCACAGGTCACTGATCCATAAAAGAGCATGTATGATTATGTTAAGAGGTAAACAGAGGAAAAATGGCCATCAAATCACAAGAGAAGACATTAAAACAACATGAACCAGGTTTTACATACACAGTTAACACAGGTTTGAACTGTATGGGTCCACTTACTTGAGGATTCTTTTCAATAAATACTGTAAATGTATTTTCTCTTCCTAATGACTTTCTTAATAACATTTCCCTTTCTCTAGCTTACTTTTCTGTAAGAATATAATATATGAAATGTACAAAATATGTGTTAACAGACTGTATGTTATTGGTAAGGCTCTGGTCAACAATAGCCTACTAGTAGTTAAGTTTGGGGAGAGTCAAAAGAGGTAAGCTGACCAGAAAAAAATCCTGAGGTATCTTAAATTACAGCAGGCTGGAGGGTGAAAGGAAGAGATGAGGGGTTAATCAGTTAACCACTGCAGGCAAACTAGCAAAGACTGACAACATTCCTAAAGGTATGCTGAAACTTTCAATTAGCCTCAAGGTGGATATCTTGGAGAGAACAGCCTAAAGCCAAAAGCCGACTGCCAGGTGTCACTGCATCCTGTGTACGCATGATCTTTCCAGACTGTTGCACACAACCTATCTTAAAGAACAAATGCTTCTTCCTTCTGGACTATGCACCTATACCAGAACTAGCCCTTTACCTACAACTAAATTGTTTCAAAACAACTTACAACTTTCTTCCCTAAACTGTCTGCATAAAAAAGCTGTAAATCCCAGAATGTAAACATGCAGTTTTCTCCATCTAGCCCTGCTGCTGGTGGTTTAGACAGCATGTCCCAGGACCCAGTCCTTTTCTGGCTAGCACGTGGCTCAATTAACCTTTTCTTTTCGAAAAGCTTTTGGCCATGATTTAACAAAGCAAAATTTTGAATGCCAGGGAGTCTTCGTGCTTAACCCTAGTTGTTCAAGGGTCAACTGCACAACATATGTGTACCTAAAAAGACAACAGTCTGTAGTCTTCTCCTTCCAACATGGAAGCAATATTGAGTGAAAAAAGTCCTTGGAGAACTAGGACTATTTATTACACATAAGCACTTACTGTATCTTATTGTTAAATAAATGAACAGTGCTTTACTTAACTGCCTGGTAATAGAATAAAAATAGAGACTTGACTTAACTGCTAATGAGCTCAAAGTCCCCAAAGCAAATATACCTGCAGATCCGGAAGGTGGAGGGGCTCCAGACCGCTGCCATTCTGTGGCTTCTGCAGCCAGCCTCCGGATGTACTGTTCATTCACTGACAACAAGATGTTTTCTGGTTTAATGTCAGTGTGGATGATCCGGCACTTGCTGTGTAAGTAATCCAGACCCTGTAATACCTACATGGGAACAGAGCAGGACACTTGCAAACACAAAAGACATGTCTTTCTGGAGAAGGAAAAAAAATCACAATAACATTAAAAAAAAATAAAAAATGATGTGGTAGTTTTCCACAGGGAATAAAGCATTTTTTTAAAGCACAAAGATTAACTATGAACTATGAATGAAGGCAAGAGCTTATTTATAATAAAAAGTTCTTCCAAGTTTTAGAAAGCGAATTCTATTTGGAGACATCTTTAAGTACATTATAAAGACTGAGAATAAATGGTCCACATGCCCTTTAAGTACTGAAATGTAAGTGGTGAAAGAGATTTAGATATGTTTTAATTCAAATTTCCTTGTTGATGAAGAACTGAGGTCTCTTGCTTCCCAGTCTGGGACTCTTCCCACCAAAACACATTATCCAAACAAATTATTTGCCCTTTGATGTATTAATACTTTCCTGATAGTAAACTTCTTTACCGAACACTGAAAGGTATTTTTAATATTAGAAAATGCCCACAGCCCTGGCCAGTGTGACTCAGTTGGTTGAACATGGTCTCATGCACCAAAAAGTCACCAATTCCATTCCCAGTCAGGGCACAGGCCAGGGTTGCGGGCTCAATCCCCAGCAGGGGGCGTGCAGGAGGCAGCTGATTGCTGTTTCTCCCTTCCTCTTTCTCTCAAAAAAAAAATTAAAAAAAATCAATAAAAACATATTTTTTAAAAATGCTCATGAATAATGTTATGTTATATAAAGAGACAGTAATGATTTGACATAGCAATTCTTTACTACCACAGAGTCAGTATTTGTAACCAGAACTTCTGAATAAGGGCTCCAAATTTCAAAAACTCAGGAACTGCACACCTTCCCCTCTAATAATTATAGAAGATGAAGTGGGAGTGGGGGGAGATGGTTATGATAAAATGTTTAAAAACAGAATAAACACAGTAAATCCTATGGGCTGAATAAAACAATTTTTAAAAACCTAGTTTTTAAAATAAAACTTCTATTGGAAATAGGAAACCCTTGACACTTTACATATAAAAAAAATCACCACACTGAAACTACATACTTGCTGAATGATTTTTTTGACACAAGGCAGTGGAAGCCCTTGATAGTTGGATTTGATGATCCACTTCAGCAGATGATGCCCCAGAACTTCAAACACCATGCAGATATCTAGAAGTGTGTTAAGGAGGCAAAAGGGAGGCAAAATGTGTCCCACCCCAATGAAACTGTTATTGTATTATTCTTTCAGTATAAAAAGTTATAGAGCTTGACTAAAAAATAAAAAAATCTAGCTGTCAATATTCTAAAATTCCAAAGGTTAATTAATATTTTAGTCACTGAAAACACCCAAGAAATGGAAAATTCTGGTAGATTTGTTGATAAACCATACACAAAGGAAAAGAAATTCTGCTTTAACTATAGAAGGTAAAATATCAAGACTTAACCTACTAAATGCAAATGCCAACATTTTAAATAATATAGGAAACTGACTTGCTTTATGCTCTGTACTTTACAAAACTTGTCTCAATTCCAGTGCCACCATGTGTTCTCTACGTGTGAGCACCCCATCACTGACACACAGCAGGAATACTATCAGCCTGTTTGCATGCAGAGCACTGTAGGGATTTTAGTAGCAAGATGCTGTTATCTTCTATCTCTAGAAGCTTCTACATAAAGTGGAAAATCAAAACATGCATATATAATAATGACCTAGTGCCCAGACTTTTGTTTTAAATAAGATTCTCCACTAAATGAAAACCTAGTTCCTTGAAGAAATGGCCAAATCCAGGGTGAACCTGGAGCACCTTGCTGTGCCAACAGGAAAAAACCTGGACCACCTTGCTGTGTCAAGAAGAAACAGGAACCAGCTTGAAGAGGATGCCATTAGCCAAAGTTGAGAACATTTTAAAGAGTGAAGTTATGAATTAAGTTATAAAGTAACAATAGAATGAGTCCAAATGGATACTACAGTGTGTATTGGGAGGAGGGAAATACCTTCTTTAGAGAAAAAGTCAAGTAATAAATATACAAAGTATGACAGAAATAGAAAACCACCATTTTACAATGACTATAATAATAACTGATGCAGGTAAGAATCAATGACCAATGAAACTAAACTACTGAATGAAAGACTGTTGGGAAAATTGTCACAATATCACCCTGAAGATTGCTTATTGATTATAAAGGAAAAAGGTACTTTTAACCAGGAAAATCTGGAAAACTCTGTCAGAACCCACTGATCAAACTTCTCACCACCAATGATGAGCACAAATTCACATTACGTGCCCTCTGAGAAGAACGAAACATCATCCATGTAGTGTGGTTGGCAAAAATGATTAAAATGAATTTAACTATAGGGAAACAACTGGACAAATCCAAATTAAGGGACAAAACAACTGGCCTGGACTCTTTGGGGGGAAAAAAAGTTGATGACATGAGAAGACTATTCTAAATTAAAGATTAAAGGTACATGACTACCTCAGAGAAACACAAATCAAAATTACAGGAGGACACCATTCAAAGCCACTAGAATGACTAAAATAAAAAGACTAACGTGACCAAATGTAGGTGAGAATGTGGAGCGATTAAAACTCTCATATTGCATTAGCAAAAGTATAACATGGTGCTACCACTTTGGAAAACTGGTTAGAGTTAAATGTACAACTAGGAACTTGTGCTTCAGCCAAGATGGAGTAACAGGAACTGGATTTACTCTTGCTTGAAATGACGACAACAACAAAAGCAAACAAAATACATAAAATAACAGATTTTAAGATCCTGGACATCAGGCAACGAAGTTAGTGATCGCTGAGAGAAGGTAAATAAATGAGCTGAAGCCTACGGTTGTCCCGTCTGACTGCCTTGAGACTTTCCAGGCAAACCCATTCAGTAAACATATGGAGGTGAGAGTCTTGAGAGATCAAGGCAGCTGTAGTTCATAGAACAAGGTACCAGAGAGGAGACAGCTGCAGAAAAAAGAGACCCTGGAGATCGGTAGAGGGACATCCTCACGTAATCAGTAGTGTATTAATCAGAATAGGTAAATGAAACTACCAGAAGCCGACAGAAATCACCTGGAAGGATTAGAGGAAATAGTACCTAGTATTCCCACAGGGCACCAACAGTGTGTGTTATCATAAAAAAGACTAGAAAAATACATAGTCAGACTCGTGAGCCAGAAATCAAACTACACATATATGGTCAATTAATTTACGACAGAACAGCCAAGATTATACAATGGGGGAAGGACAATCTCTTCAATACACGGTGTTGGGAAAACTGGACAGCCATGTGCAGAAGACCACTGAGCCACTATCTTACGCCATACCTCAAACTCAAAATGAATTGATACCTTAACCGTAAGACCTAAAACCATAAAACTCCTAGAAGAAAACATAGGCAATAGCTCCTTGACACTGCTCTTGGCAAAGATTTTTTTGGATTTGACATCAAAAGCAAAGGCAACAAAAGCAAAAATAAACAAGTGAGACTATGTTAAACTAACTAAAAATCTTCTGCACAGCAAAGGAAGCCATCAGCTAAATGAAAAAGCAACCTATGAAATGGGAGAAAATATTTGCATACCAGTATCTGACAACAGTCCAATATCCAAAATATATAAAGACGTTGCCCTGGCCGGGTAGTTCAGTTGGTTAGAGTGTCATCCCAATATGCCAAGGTTGCAGGTTCAATCCCCAATCAGGGCACATACAAGAATCAACCAATGATGCAGAAATAAGTGGAACAACAAATTGATGTCTCTCTCTCTCTCTGAAGTCAATAAATAAAACGCATAAAGAAGATACATAACTCAATAGAAAAAACCCCAATCTATTAGTAGAGGGTCTGAATAGAAAATTTTCCAAAGACATAAAGATGGCCAACAGGCACATTAACCATGAGGGAAATACAGATCCAAACCACAGTGAGGTATCACCACACACCTGTTAGAAGGGCTGTTATCAAACAGACGAGATAACAAGTGCTGGTGAGTGTGTGAAGCAAGAGAACTCTCGTGCACTGTTGCTGGGAACATAAATTACTGCAGCCACTGTGCAAAACAATATGGAGTTTCCACAAAAAATTAAACAGAATTACCATATGATCTAGCAATTCCACTTCCGGGTATTTATCTGAAGGAAAGGAAAACACTATGTCAAAGACATATCTGGACGCCCATTTCACTGCAGCATTATTTACAACAGCCAAGGGATGAACTGGATGAGAGGATAAAGAGGAGGTATACGCACACAGTAGAATATTCAACCCTAAAAAAAAGGAAATCCTGCCATTTGCGACAACATGAATAGGCCTTCAGGGCATTACACTAAGTGAAATAAGTCAGACAGAGAAAGAAAAATACTAGATATCACTCATATGTGGAATATAAAAAAAAACCCAACAACAACCCACCTCCAAACTCATAGGCAAGGAGAACAGATTGATGGTTGCCAAAGGTGGGGGTTGAAGAAAGAGGTAAATGTGGTCAAAAGGTACAAACTTCCAGCTGTAAGGCCTGTTCGGTACATGATCATTATGTTGTACACCCAAAACTCATACAGTATTATTATGTCAATTATATCTCAATTTTTAAAAGACTAGAAAAATTTGTAGTCATTGGGCACTGGGTAGTGATTAGCCCCAGACTGAACGCTGCTCTGGATCCATCTAACAAATCATAAAAGTAACATCTGAAAAGGACCAAAATGTTTGAAAGTAACATAACTGCTTCATGGGACAAAGCTCAAGGTTACAGGAATAAAAAATATCCAGCAGCCAAGAAGGTGAAAAAATCACAATGTCTCAAAGATTACCAGGCAGCAAACTGACCCAGAACTGAACCAGATATTAGAATCAGCAGACAAGAAAAGTAAAAGCTATAACTGCAAGTTATATATTGAAAAGCATAGGCATAGAAAATAGATATAAAAGAAGAGACCCAAATTGAACTTAACGTGAGAGATGAAGACACTAGATGGAATAAATGGCAGATGAGGCACTGCAGAATATTAGTAAACTTGAAGGCATGGCAATAGAAACTATCCAAAGTGAAAAACAGAAAAAAATACTACAAACCAACCAACCAACCCACACACCCACAAGAGTAAGCTTCAGGGGGCAATTTGAAGTGACCCATAAAAATGGAGAGGAGCCCGGCCGGGCGTGGCTCAGCGGTTGAGCATCGACCTAGGACCCAGGCAATTGGGGTTCGATTCCCGGTCAGGACACATGCCCCGGTTGCAGGCTCGGTCCCCTGCATTTTTAAATAGTTTATGAATAGGCAGTTTTAGACCTTCTAATCTAAGTGATACGCTATCATTTATTCTGAAAAATCTTATAGGCCTTTATTAGCATAACTGTTGCAACAACCTTTCAATTAGTTCACTGCATGTTGCTCTGAAGTTAACTTGTGAAGAAAATCAGCTGAGCTTCCTTCCAACTCTTAGAATTCTAGGAATCCATATAAAAACATAAAACAAGTCAGTTTTTTCATTATAATAGTACATGAACAATCACACACCTGTTCAGATTCTAAACATTAACCTACACATGCAACCTCTTCAATGCTGGGCCTAGTAGATAATAAATAAAATGCATTAAATTCTTGTTTATTCAGAATTTATCATGAAAAATTACTTTTATTAAAATTTGTGCTAATTGATAAAAATCACAAAACCTTTACTTCATAATACAAGGCTGTTTCTAAAAAAGTTCTTTTGACTTTGGTTTAATTGGGTCAAAAAGGAAAAAAGCCTAAAGCAATACTCTAAGAAATCACAACATACAAAGACATACAAGATTCACATCTGTGGTCAGAAATTTACAATAAAAGAAAGTAATTTAATTTTAGTTTGCTTTGAGAAAAGAGACCAATGCTGTTTATACAAATCTGGTCCCTTTTTGGGATAAAGTTAATTCATGACTTATTTTCCAATAGGTTCTTAAAAGGATACGTGTTCCATTAACTCCTGATATTTTAAAGTCATCTAGCAGTTGAACAACCATTTCTTTATTTGGATCATTAGGGTCTGAATTGCGAACCTATAGTGGGGAAGACAGTATTTAGTAAAAAGAAAAGCACTGAAATAACCAAATGGCTACCTGCAGCAAATATAACAAAAGATTAATTACTCCAAGAAAGAGAAAATCTATGAGAAAAACATATTAAAATTCTAATAGCTCAAACAGGAAAGGAACTTAAACAGTTCACAAAAGGAAATGTATCCATTTTTTTCTACCCAAAGTATGACTCCCAAATTAACTCTTGGTAACCAGGCCACAAGGAATTAAGGAGCTTTTGCAGGCTGTAAATCGACCACAGCACTAATGACACTGTTTATTCAGCTATTTTTGTTCAAAGAAAAACTTTGTCAATGAAGGAAGCAGTACATTAATTGCCTTTTGGGCACGCGTTCCTCATTGTGTCACAGGCTGACATTCTGAAAAGTACTTCCTCGTCTAACATCATCACCTTACAAATAAAAAATCTAAAGTTCAGAAGAAATAAAATGATGAGTTGGAGGATATGCTGGAATAGAGATGATCTTAAAACCTAGATTTTCTAACTCTGACTTTAAGCTCCTTCTACTACGTTGGAATTTTCCCAATTTATAAAAAAACTGAAAATAAGTTTTTGATAAATATACCTACATTTCCAATATAAAGGAATTAATACAATGCTTATTTTTATAACACCTAAAAACATAAAGTAGATATTATATATTTGTTAGCACAACTTTCCTTTTAACCATAATAGGAAAGAAAAGAATTCTTTGTGCTATCTGGCATATAAAACATGCTCAAATTAACATTTTTATTTGAAAGTTTTTTCAATGTGTATGTAGAGGGAATTTCCATGACAGCATATTCCATCAGTTCCCTACGACATGACCAAAATGTGTAAATATTGTTGTCTTCCTCTACCTCTTTAAAGATAGTGAAACTTCATAGTAAATATTAGCCAGGCTAAAGAATTTACACTTTGCATGTCTTAATTCAATAAAACTTTATTTAATGCTTCACAGTTCACACATATGATCTAATAATACTCACTGATTTCAGCAACCGGATTTCATCTAGTGCTGTTTCAGTATAATGTTCAGCACTTTTAACTACTTTCATAGCTACAAACTTCTTTCCCCTAAGAAACAAACATAGACAGTTAGGACTAAATGTCCTCCCTTACTTTAGGAAGCTACGATTTTGCTATAATGGGAGACAGTGACAAAAGCACCACTATTGATTTCATGTTTCCTTATACTTAAACACAGGCTACTTCTATGGGATCACTTGTACCCATCAATTAACTGGCCAGATTTAATTTACAGAAAGAAAATCTGTTCTTGGGGAATGCCAATAACCAAACATTTTCTCTAAGTTAAAATTTACCTTCTTAATGTCTCCCTGAACCCAAGTAAAACCATGAAAAGGGGATAAATAAAAGGGGGGGGGGAAATCCCACCACACCTGAAGTATCCTGTCTATCTGGTAAAAGCTAAAAGGTGAAAAACTGTAATACTTTCCTATAAGAAGCCAGAAGAAAAAATAGGGTGAAAACAAACTAATAAAAAAATTAAGCACATAGATAGCAATTACTGTCTCATCAAAGACAGATGGTACACTTTTAAGTAAATACCCAATGGTAACTGCCTGTGATTTTTATGTAGAGAATAGTTTTAGACTGTATGGCTGAGCAAATCTGTTACCAAAAGAAAATGTAAGAAAATCTCACACAGGTTGGTCTCGGGCATTGATTTTCAACCCATGTCCTGCAAGAATTTTTAAAACATGCAATACCTGACTATTTAATCAGGGGCACTGACCTCTTTTCCCTTAGACTGTCATTAAAAAATCACAGCCAGCACAGCAATAGCCATCTGGTGTGAAGGCCCTGTCTTGAACCATAAACATATAGGTCATGTAATAGAGTTGCATCTTACTGGTTATATTAAGAATAAGGTTGCATCTGATTGGTTAATTCCTGGTACCAGAAACCCTTATATACAAGTATAAGAACCTGATTTTTAAAAAGTCACTTTGCAGCAAAAAGGATAGGTAATTACTACATTATATATTTTTTGTGAATCAATTTAACTGTACTCCAGTGAGGAAAACTATGAATTTACATATCATCCTTTCAATAGCTGTAATGCTCTAAATGCTTTACTGATGCTAACTTAGTTAACCTTGGTCTCTAAGATCTTCACCAGAGGAGAGTCATCTCCAAGAACACAAAGGTTATCAACAACAAAACTCTGATCAAGAAATCAGTCCAAATCAGACTGAAGGTGGGTCAGCTCTGGAAAATCACACAGAAACACTTAGCTATCACTTAACTAACTCTTTCGCAGGACCACTAACACTTACTGAATATCCCATGATAACCACACTGTGGAAAAGTGTCCCCAGCCCAACTTTCGGATCACATGATATCTTCCATTGAATAGATCTCCGATTTTCACAAGATGATAACCTCCTGGAAGAAATAATAGGAGGGAAACATCCACTTAAGTGGTATGAAAAGGTATCTTACATCCCATTTTTAACATCTATATGTCTTTTATCAAATAAAAATGATTTCTTCTATACTATCAATTCAACAGAAGAAAAACTTAAGTCAGCCACACAGTATCACTGAGCTCATGTTACAAAAAAAGTCTTAGAGAATTAAATTAATGATTTAGATGGAGCAAGTGATACTTTGTAGAACAACCAATAGCTACTTAAAAAAAAATATTCAAACAAAAATAAGGTTAGGTATTACCATATGCTTGTCCCTCATTAATCCAACAGATTTATCTAAACATAAGTCTATAGTTGCAATATCAGGATTATTTTCAAAAGGAGGGAGATCAATGAAACCTATTTATTTAACTTAAAAAACAAACAGCCAGGCTGGGCGTGGCTCAGCGGTTGAGCATCGACCTAGGATCCAGGAGATTGAGGTTCGATTCTCAGTCAGGGCACATGCCCAGGTTTCGGGCTTGATCCCCAGTCAGGGGCATGCAGCATGCAGCCGATCAGTGACTCTCTCATCATTGATGTTTCTATCTCTCTATCCCTCTCCTTTCCTCTCTCTGAAATCAATAAAAATATATTTAAAACAACAACAACAGCAAAAACAGGCTCGGCTGGGCGTGGCTCAGCAGTTGAGCTTAGACCTGGGATCCAGGAGATAGATGGAGGTTCCATTCCCGGTCAGGGTGCATGCTTGGGTTGCAGGCTCGATCCGAAGTCAAGGGTGTGCAGGAGGCAGCCGATCAATGACTCTCTCATCATTGATGTTTCTCTCTCTCCCTCCCTCTCCCTTCCTCTCTCTGGAATCAATAAAGATATATTTAAAAAAAACCAAAAAACCAAACCAAAACAAATAGGATGTGCTTCCCTGAAAACATAACACAACAAAACCCAGGAAGGCCTGAAAAGGCTTCTAACAGTGGCAGGAATCAAGTTATTTTAACATACATTCTACTGTAAGAATACTGAAAAGTCTCATAAAGAAACAGAAAAGCTATCAGGCAATCTTATGACACAATTTAAGTATCTATAATTCCAGTTTAACTTATTTTAGCAATCATCACTATGAGAAAAAAGTGATAAAAAGGTGTTTTGCAAAAGTCTACAATCAAATCTTATCACTGGTTACTTCTGGGTGACAGCATTAAAGATGGCTTTTATTTTCTTTTTGTTTAATATATTTCTGAAATTTTCTAAGGTAAATAAATATACACTTTTGACAGATTTAATATGAAACTAACCTTTAAATAAATTAAGTCAAACTAAGAAGAAATACTATTTCCTATACCTAAAGAAAAAAAATGCAGTAAGCAGAAAGCATCAAAACTTTACAATGACAGAGCAAACATTCAAATGAGAATCTGCATACATGTGGATCACGTCTCACTGAGTCTTGCCCTACAGAAAGCCTCACCTTTACAGTAATCATTGGGATCCTCCTGCTCATCATCATCAGACCCTAGGATCTCCTCTTCCTGTTCTGGCGGATCACTCTCAGAGTGGGTAGCAGAGCCTCGGTGCTGAGTTTCAGATCTAAGAAATAATACAAACATGTTCAATTCAAAAGGACAGAAGAAAATAGGACTTTAAGAAAACATCATTATCAACCCTCCCCACCCCCCCCACTTAACAGATAATATAAACAGAATATTATCCAATGGCAGCCTAAAATAACATTAGCTATCACTTTACCTCATGTTAGGAAAATACCACTTTTTAAAAAGTCAGTACATGATTAAATAAATCTGGAAAATATACAGGGTGGGACAAAAGTAAGTTTACAGTTGTGAGTGCATGAAACACAAGAGTTTATTCTTGTATTATTTATAAATTACTGTATTTTCCATACAATCAACTCTAAATAAACCTACTTTTGCCACACCCTGTATATAAAAGTACAAAAGGAAAAAAGTAATTAAATCACAATATCCAAACATAATTGCTTGTAAAACTATTAGATTTTCTTCCAGTTATTTCGCTTTATTTTTAATAATTTTTTAAAAAAGTCCTTACCCGAGAATATGTTTTAGAGAGAGAAAGAGAGGAAGCAAGGGAGGGAAACATCCACTGGTTGCCTCCCCCATGCACCTGCAACTGGGGATTAACCCTGCATGCACTGAGAACTGAACCTGACACCTTTTGGCACCAGTACAGGATAGGATGACATTCCAACCAGAGCTATGTTGTTGTATTTTTATTAAAAATGTATTTGTAATTATGTACTATATAAAAAATTTGTATCCTGCTCTCCCTGCTACATTGTAAACATTTTCCCTCAGTTCTATGCAATCTCTTAAATCTTACATATTTCCCTTAGAAGTATCAGCACTTACTTTGGCAGATTCTGTTCAGCTGCACATTTAACTTGCTTCTAACTAAAAATAAAGCTGTTGAATACTTTTGGATAGCCTTTACTCTGTATTTAGAATTATTTCCTTAATGTCAAACTACCAGATAAGGACAGAAATATTCTCCCTATTTATAAAAATAACATGTTAAATGTAGAAAATTTGGAAAGAAATTATTTTGTTCTATAACAAATCTAATCTGAACAAATGAACATTTTGGACTATTTCCTTCCAGTCTGTGGCCATGAATGGTTTATAGGATTATATAGTATGACTTTTCTAAAAGGGTTGTACTTTGGTATTTAAGGATTATCAAGTTCAGAAAACTTAACTTCTTTGATAGGCAAAAATAATATCTCATTTTATAATGTATTAAAATTTTTTACTGATTCCTTTCTCCACATGCCATCAATTAGTTATATCAAAATTTTCATATACTGAGAAGTTCAGGAAGCAGAAAGATTTGGATTTACCTTCAGGTTTTAACACATATTAGCTGCCTGCTTTATAAAAGGCTTTAAACAAAAGCAGCAGGGTAGATAATATTTCTTTCAGTAGTTGTACTTCTCATTTCTCAGTATTTTATTTACCTTTTCATCAACCTGTTTGACCAGACCATTTTTCCACAAAATTTAATGAAATGGAAAACAAACAGCAATAATAATAGCAAAACCAGTTATGTGGGTTATGCAAACATAAGAACTATCTTAGCAAGCATGACTAATTATTCAGATTAGGTATTTGGTGGCCATTCCAACCTACCTCAATTTTTGGTACTTTTTTTTTTCTCCCAGGAAATACAAAAGTAGCTGTATGATTGCATGACTCAGATTTATTCATGTTGGATAGTGTACGTAAATGCAGTACTTGCCTCTTCCCACAACCACATCAAACTTATAACTAAACAGCCCTGGCCGGTGTGGCTAAATGGTTAGAGCGTTGGCCTGTGCACTTAGGGGTTGTAGGTTCAATTCCCTGGACATGTACAGGAGGCAACTAATCAATGTCTCTGTCTCTCCCTCCCTTTCACTCTCTCTAGGAAAATCAATAGAAAAAATATCCTCAGGTAAAGATTAACATCAACAACAAGAACTTACAACTAAACAACAGAACCACCATCATTTAGGACCGCCTAAAATCTGGATAAAAGGCATCACGTCCTACAACTAGAGAATTAAAGAATCCACACTGAGACTGGGGCAACTCCTGAACAGCAGTTCTTCTGCTGCAGTCACAGCTGGTCCAACAGCTGACTGGCCTGGGGATCAATCTCTCTCAGTGATGCCAAAAGCAATCAAGGCTCACCTACAACAAGACAGTGCATATAACCCACACAGGGGTGCACCTAGAATGCCCAGCTCAGATGAGTGGGGAGGCTGAGCCACCAGGCCCTACAGGACATCTACTACACAAGGTCACTCTACCAATTCCAAGAGATGAAACAGCTCTACCTAATACACAGAAACAAACACAGGGAAGCAGCCAAAATGCGGAGACAAGGATACATGTTGTAAATGAAAGAACAGAAGAAATCTCCAGTAAAAAAACTAAATGAAATGGAAGCAAGCAAACTACCAGATACAGAGTTGAAAACAATGGTTATGAAGATGATCAAGGAACCTAATGAGAACTTCAAGAAACTTGGTGAGAACATTAATCACATAAAAAAGGACCAGTCTGAAATGAAGGCTACACTAACTGAAAGCAAGAATAATTTACAGGGAATCAACAGTAGAGCAGAGGATGCTGAGAATCAAATCAGCAATTTGGAACATGAGGAAACAAAAAACTCCCAACCAGAAGAGCAAAAAGAAAAAAGAATCCAGAAATATGAAGATATTGTAAAGAGCCTCTGGGAAAACTTCAAGTATACCAACATTCATATCATGGGGGTACAGGAAGGAGAAGAGAGGAAGTAAGAAACTGAAAACCTATTTGAAAAATAATTACAGAAAACTTCCCCTACCTGGGGAAAGAAACAGACTTACAAGTCCAGGAAACACAGAGGGTTCCAAACAAAAGGAACCCAAAGAGGCCCACAGCAAGACACTTCATAATTAAAATGCCAACAGTGCCCGGCCGGGCGTGGCTCAGTGGTTGAGTGTCGACCTAGGATCCAGGCGATCGGGGTTCGATTCCCGGTCAGGGCACATGCCCAGGCTGCGGGCTTGATCAATGACTCTCTCATCGTTGATGTTTCTATCTCTCTCCCTCTCTCCTTTCCTCTCTCTGAAATCAATAAAAAGATATATTAAAAATAATAATAATAAAAAATAAAAATAAAATGCCAAAGGTTAAAGACAAAGAGGGAATTTTTTTTTTTTTAAACATATCTTTATTGATTTCAGAGAGAGGAAAGTAATGGGGAGAGAGATAGAAACATCAATGATGAGAAAGTCATTGAGTGAGCCTGGGCATGTGCCTTGACCGGGAATCAAACTGTGATCTCCTGGATCCTAGGTCGATGCTCAACCGCTGAGCCACGCCCAGCCAGGCAAAGAGGGAATCTTAAAAGCAGCAAGAGAAAAGCAACTGGTTACCTACAAGGGAGCACCCATACTACTGTCAGCTGATTTCTCAACAGAAACTATACAGGCCAGAAGGGAAGGGCACGAAATATTCAAAAGTAATGAAAAGCAAGTACCTACAACCAAGATACCTCTACTCGGCAAAGCTATCGTTTAGAACTGAAGGTCACATAAGGAACTTCACAGACAAGGAAAAGCTAAAGGAGTTCATCAACACCAAACCAGTACTAAATGAAATGATGAAGAGTCTTAAGGAGAAGAGGAAGAGGAAGAAAAGAGATAAAAAATATGAACAATAAAATGACAATAAATACCTAATTATCAACAATTGAATCTAAAAATAAAAATAAATGAACAAGGAGTCTAATCAACAAAACACATTGCTGATTAAAATAGAACCAAAGGCATGGACACATGAAACAGACTGACAAATCTCAGAGGGAAGGGGACGGGGTGGGAAAAACTCAACCAAAGAACTTACATAAGTATATGCATTACCCATGGAGACAGACAATAAGGTGGTGAGCCTGTGGTGGGGTGGGATCCAGGGGGAGAGGGGTAAAGGGGGGAAAAGGAAGGGACATCTGTAAAAATCTCAACAATAAAATTTTTTTAAAAAAGTCAATGATAAAGAATTCTAAGGGCAGCCAAGGAAAAAGAAAGTAACCTACAAAGGAACCCTCATCAGGCTGTCATCAGATTTCCCAGCAAAAACTCTACAGGCTAGGAGTGGTATGACATATCGAAAATACTAAAAGATTAAAACTGCCAGCCAAGCCCTGGCCTGTGGCTTAGTTGGCTGGAGTGTTGTCCTGTACATCGAAAAGGTTGTGGGTTCAGTTCCCGGCTGAGGTACATATGGGAGGCAACTGATCAATGATCCTCTCTCACATCAATGTTTCTTTTTGTTTCAAATCACTAAAATTAAACAAACAAACAAACACATCCTAGGGTGAGGATTAAAAAACAACAACAAACTGCCTGCCAAGAATAATTTATGGACACAAACAACAATGTAGTGAAGGCCTGGGGCGGGGTGGGATCCAGGTGGAAGGGGGCAATGGGGGGACATCTGTAATACTCGCAACAATAAAGATTTTTTAAAAACCCAAAAACAGCATCATTCCGTCCTGGCTGGTGCTACTCAGTGGTTAGCGTATGGGCTTCACACTGAAGGATCTCAGGTTCAATTCCTGGCCAAGGGCACGTATGGGAGGCAACCAATCCATGTCTCTCTCTCTCTCTCTCTCTCTCTCTCTCTCTCTCTCACACACACACACACACACACACACACACACACCCCCCAATAGAAAAAAATATCCTTGGGTGAGAATTAAAATCAAACAACCCTGCACAATCCAATGTTGTTTTCTTTCTTAGTGAAAACATGTCTTTGGGAAACTTATTTAAAATAGTAAGAAACTATAAGGCCCACTTTAAGGCTCACTTTCCTAAGTAAAAATAATGAGTATGAACGAACATCCCCAAATTAAAGATTAAGATGGATTTCTAAAACAAATTCCCTGATTTCAAATTTGTTGCCTTTTACAATTAAAATTAAAACTTGATTGTAAGAAGAACTACAATTGTGAAAATGTTGAAAAGCAGTGAAATATAAGCAGTGAAAAACAGACATGAAAATGCTAGATTAGGATTCCACAAGTATCATGAGTAGTAATGTTGAAAAATTAT